TATATATATATATATCTTGTACAGAGTATTTCTTGAATATGTTTGTATGTGGCAGTTGGCGGAACAAGGGATTGGAATGGTGGTGTTAGCATGAGGTCATTGTTTGTAGAGAAATATGAGTATGTTCTCCTTAGATGACACAGGAAAATATCTAGAAAATTCAGTTAATATGATTACTAGTAATTGAAATAGTAGTAAAATATATTTTCAATTGAGCACTTTCTTTGTCAGACACTCACTGAAATTCTCATAAAAATCATACACAGTAGGTGTAATTGTTCCAGCTTCATAGATGGAATAGCTGAAGTTCAGAGTGGTAAAGTAACTTGTTCAGGGTCACACAGTCAGTAAAAGGAGAACTGTGAACCAGGTGTGTCTGACTCCACTTTATCACTTTGCCTCTCCAAGGCTTCTAGAAAATGCATGGTGAGGCCATCCACCACAAAGGGAACATGTAGCCCCTTCTGTACCTAGAGAGGTGACACCTGTGCTCATGGTTTTGCTGTCTTACAGGCCATCAGCTTCTTCACCAGTGATGTAAGCTACCTGTTTGAAGGTGTGTACTATGGCCCCTTGGCCGTGATGGTCTGCTCAGCAGTGATTGTCTGTGGCATTACCTCCTACCTCATTCTTGGACCCACTTCACTTATTGGCATTTTTTTCTATTTGCTGGTTTTTCCATTGGAGGTAACACCTTTCTTTGCTATGCCTTTGATTGATATTCGACTTTCCACAGAAGAGCTCCCAGGGCTATGGAATCTGGGTACCTCTCAGTGAAAGTGTTGATTCTTAATGACTGTTCAGTCTTTTGTGATTAAGATTAAGTTTCAGTTCCTATCTCAAACCATTGCTTGGCCATAATGTTTGGTTAAAATATAAGAGGTGAAGATGTGTGAGGTCTGCCTCATAGGTTTCTATGAAGGATTGTCTGCTTCATAGAGTTTCCTTGGTAGACATCCCTTGTGCCTTCTCTTCCACCCAGAATGTGCATTTAACATTTAATAATAATGTTCATAATAATTAATAGTAACTAATAGTCAATATATCAATAATGACATTTAACAATGCAGGTGGGATTTAACATTTGGCTGAACACAGTATCATTGGGGTTAGATAGGTAAATTTGCTGCCAAAGTTCAGAAGGAATAAAATTGAGTAAAACAGGAAGCGACTCTTGGATTACGTGTACTACAAATTATTGAAAATCTAGTGATTTTCTCTCTTAGCATATTTACTCCGATCAAAAAGTGATTGTAATTGCTAGAAGGTTTAGGGTGCCAAAAAGCAAAAAAATGTCACAGTTCTGCTTAATTAGCAATAGCCTGGTTTGTAAGTAGTTAAGGCATTTGGCTGCTAAACAAACTGTTGGCGGTTTGAACCCACCAGCCACTCCATGGGAGAAAGATGAGGCCATCTGTTTTCGTAAAGATTTATAGCCCTGGGATCCTCATGGGGCAGTTCTACTCTGTCATATAAGGTCACTATGATTTGGAATCCACTCGAGGCCAGTGGGATTGGTTTTTGGGTTTTTGGATTGAAACTCAGGAAAGGCCACAGGATGTGTGAGGCAGGTGCCCTGAGACAATGATGACCTTGAGAGGCTCCCATTGGAAAACCTTCAGCAGAAGCCTGGAATTAAGAGTCACAGTGGATTCACTCAGGGCAAGATCAAGCCCAGGTATTCAACCTGCTCCCTGGGTGGCACAAATGGTTAAGTGCTCAACTACTAGCAGAAAAGTTGAACCCACCCAAAGGTGCCTTGGCAGACAGGCCTGGAGATCTGTTTCTGAAAGGTCACGGCCTTGACAACCCTTTGATAACAGATTTGGTTTGGGTTTATTCAACCTACCTCTGGAGTTTACCTTTGGAAATACTCCTAGTTACTACCTCACTCAGGCTAGCCTGAATGCTTCAGCCCTTATTAAAAAACAAAAACAAAAACAAAAACAAACTCTTGTGTATCAACACACATCCTGCATCCCAACTCCAGGCATTCCTGGGCAGAAAGACTGTGAAGATACAGGATCGCACTGCTGTGGCCAGCGACCAGCGCATCCTGGTGACCAGTGAGGTTCTCACTTCGATGAAGCTGATTAAAATGTACGCATGGGAGAAACCATTTGCAGCAATTATTAAAGGTACAGAAAGTGGACTTTACCCTCAGAGATTGGTGATATTATGGTGGGCCAACCTCTTTCACCTTTGAGGGATTTCTTTCATGCTTTGGGGGTTGTTCTGTGCTCTTTGGGGGAATGTTCTTCTGATTAATTTCAGTGTATTTCTTCTTCTTCTTTTTTTTTTTTTTTAAATCTTCCAGATCTAAGAAAGAAGGAAAGGAAATTATTGGAAAAGGGTGGACTACTCCAGAGCTTTACCACTACTCTCTTGTTTATATTCCCAACAGCATCTATAGTAACAATGTTCCTCATCCACACAGCCTTAAAATTAACACTCACACCTTCAGTAGTAAGTGTTTGGGGTGCTTTGTCCCCTGCCATAATGATATGGAGTTTTTTCATGTGCACTTTCCTAGCTCACCCCTTTCAAAGATCTCAAGGATCTTCCATCCCAACCCATCTGAAAGATCTCCCATCCCTACCTACCTAAGAAAGTGGCATCCCTTTGACAGCAACTGTGGGAGGGAAGGGGCACACAGCATTGGGGTACAGGAGAGGTGATATATACAGTTAAAACCCTGAGGATTCCGAGGTACAAAATCCCCATTTGAGGAGCTTCTCTGATCCCAAATGAGGACCCTGGAACTGCTTTTAAATAAAAAGGTGTACTTTCTCCCACTTTTCCCTTTGTAGTCTAACCTAAGCTCTCCCTAACCCCTACCCCCAAGAAGCAGCAACTGCCTTTTAGGGTTGTTGTTGTTGTTAGCAGCTGTCTAGTTGGCCCTGGACTCATGGCAACCCCATGCACGATGGAACAATGTGCTGCCCATTCCTGCACTATCCGAATGATCGGTTGTGGATCTGACCATTGCGATCCATAGGGTTTCACTGGCTGGTTTTCAGAAGTAGATCACCAAGCCTTTCTTCCTAGTCTGTCTTAGTCAGAAAGCTCCACTAAACCCTGTTTAGCATCACAGCAACAGGCCAGCCTCCATTGACAGATGGATGGCTGTATATGAGGTCCACTGGCCTGGAATCAGACCTGGGTCTTTTCATGGAAGGTGAGAATTCTGCCACTGAATCACCAATACCTCCCCTTTTTGGGTTAGAAACCCCAATTATCTGAGGAGAATAAGACAAGCTGCTGGTCTTCAAGAGTGTGTAATCCTGCTAGGAGGCCAGGAGGCAGCAGGAACCAAGAAGGGGCAGCATTTGAGACTTTTCAGCCAAGGGTCCATTTGTACTTTACATGGTGGTCTCTTTGCTTGGCTCAAGCATCCACCAGAGAATCTCCCAGAAGCCCGAGGTGAGTGGTCTGGAAGGGGGAACTGCAACTTAGAAAACTTTCAGCAGGTCTTAGGATCCTACTGTGCTCATACCAGGTAGAATCAGACCAAAGCTTTTGTGCCTGGATTTTAATTTATCTTTGAATTAAGCTGGAAGAAGAAAGGAGTAGAGATTGAGGATGGATTGGATGGTCCCCAAGGTACCTTTGCAAGGTCACATTCTGAAATCTGAGAGTCTAATGTGGTTTCCTATAGTCAGTAAAGGTCTCCTGGAGTAAGGGAGGCAGGGAGTAGGCTTGAAGAATAGGGAGATTTTGAAGGAAAAAACCAGAAGGAAAAAGCATAACTAAGACAAAGAATTTTTTGATTTACAAAGTTCTCTTACATGTATTTTCTCAGAGTTTCCAGCTTTATTCTTATACAACTTTATGATTTTTGTCACCACACCAATGGAGAAACTCAGGCTCTGAAGGTGGATGACTTGCCCTAAAATTGTAGTCTTGGCTTCCATGTAGGAGACCATTTTTTGACCAAAGTACTTCACGTGCAGCCACACTTGTTGCTAAGAGACTGAACTGGTTTCAGTGGAACTTCCAGACCAAGACAGATTAGGAAGAAACGCTTAGCAATCTACTTCTGAAAATCAGTCAATGAAAACTCCATGGATCTAGGGCTGATTGAGGGTAACTAACAACAACAAATGACGCCAGGGACCAGGCCATCAGACTTCAAACCCAGTGCACCTTCCAATCTCCCCCAAATACCAGCTTAGCCTCTGCCAAATGAACGACCTGTTTTCAGAAGCTGCAAGGTCTGTTTCTGTGGCTTGAGGCTCAAGGATGGTGGCCCAAGAAGTGGTGGAGTGACTGAGCAGGATGGCACTGTGATCCTCACTGCCTCCTCTCCTTCCTTCTCCAGGCCTTCATTCTAGTGGCTACCATTAATCCCATGCGGATAGCATTGTTCTTTTTGTCTTTTGCAATCAAAGGCCTCACAGAGTCCCCTTCTGCAGCCTACAGGTTCAAGGTAAGTGCCTAGCCATCTGTTGGATGCTCTTTTGCCTTCAGCCATGTTATTCCTTCTTGACATGTCCCCTGACCAAAACAGAGTCTGGCCTGCATGGAGAAGGTTGGCTGACTCAGTGATCCCCTTGCCAGGGCTGGTGGGAAGGCTGGATCCGCTATATCAGGTTGTTTCCCAGTTCCCAGAGGTCTCAGATGGGTGGTCTGTAAATCAAGCATGAAGATAGAATTGCCTACCATTATCCCTCTGGTTTTGCTTAAATAAAAAGAAATAGAAAGAAAGAAAGGAAAAAAAAAAAAAGAAAAAAAGGCAAATCTCGGTTTTTATGTAAAGCCAGAGATTTCTGGATTCTCTTAAATGAGAATGCAACAGTGGACCCACATCCCCCCATAACCACAAGCAGCTGGAGCCATGTTGCTAGCTCCCCTTTTTAGATGGGATATGCATATACCAGTTTCTGTTGCAGTCCCTACCATGCCCTACTGCATCCCCAACACCATGGCTGCATTTTAGTTGCCATGTATCATCTTAGAAATGGTCCATTTCATGTATTTACATAGCTGGTCTTGCCCTTACTGACAACTAAGTTTGAAACACCTTGTCTAAACTAACTAACTAAAAAAGACATTTTATACTAATTTCACTTTTAAATACATGCAGTTTGTGACCTATTTCATCCATGAACTCATCCATTGATTTACGCAGTATATATTTCTTGAATGTGTACCATGTGCTGGGCACTGAGACTACTACGTGACAATAGAGCCCCTTCTATCAGTGAGTTCCAATCTGGTGTTGGAAACAGACCATTAACAAGTAGATGAATCATCAAAGAAGATGATATCAGATCACATGAAGGGCTATGCTGTCAATAAAACAGCATAATGTTAAAGAGAATGTGGGTAGGGAGGGCTAAGGGCTACATTGGGTAAGCTGGTCCAGGAAGGTCCCTCTGCTGAGGTGACATTTGAGCTGAGACTTGAATGATGACTAGGCAGAGAGAATAGCAAGTTCAAAGACCACAAGGCTAGAATGAAATTGGCTGTATAAGTAACAGGAAGACTGACAGTCTTTCACTTATCAAATCATCCCAGGGGATTTCCCTACTTCTCAATAGCTCTCTCTCTTCCTCCCTACTGGTACACTGGGTTCTTCCATCTTCCTCTCTGTGCCAATGGGAATATCTGTGGGGTCACAGCAATGAGGAAGCCACAGTCTGGGCTCAGAAGGATAGGAAAGAGCGTCTGCTGAGGGAATGGAAAGGAAAAAGTTTTGGCCATGTCCAGGGTCTGGGATTCCTGTGATGTGGCTGGAGAGTAGGAAGGGGTGGGATGGGTAGAGTAAAGGTGGGAGACAGAGGCAGGGAGGGTAGGAGCCTGGACAAAGATCTCGAGCTCTCTGGGCTGTACTCCTTCAAGGCAACAATGGGCTAGAGATGAGCAGGGAGTAGGGTTATCCCTTAGGACGGAACTTGAACTCTTTAAGTCCCCCTCCTTCAGCCATGGCATCGTAAGTACTTAAACTCTGCTTCAACCACTTAAGTTTTCTCTATGGCCCTGTATGTATGTGACTTAGTGCTGGGCCTGAGTGTGGAAGGATGATCCTATGGCCACGCTTCCTTGTTCCTCCTCTCCCCACACTAGGGCAATAGCCCACTCTCTGTGCCTTCTGACTCTTGAAGGGAGAAGGAGAAAGCTGTGATCTCTCAGGGAGGATCCCTTCTTGGAGGTGATGTTAGTGGCTAGTGGTGGGAGAGGAGAAGGCAAGCTGGTGGCTGGGGTGTGTGGCTGCCTGCAGAATGGGGCTTTGGCGAAGGCCCTGGAGGGGGTCAGTGGGACAAGAGTCTCCAGACATTACTTTCCTTTGTGCTATTTACTGAAAAAACAAGTGAAGAGCCTGAATGGTGTAAACAAAAACAGAGATTGAGGGTGTACTTAAAGGATTTTGGGGCTGGGAGAACCCTATTTTTGTTTGTATAAACCACTTTATCAACTTTCATCCATGTCTGGATACGTGCTTGTCACAGCTGACCCATTAAGCTAGAATGCTACTCAAATTTTATTTAAAAAGTTATAATATATGTGGTAAAACTTTATAAAAATAACAAAGTAACAGAGGAAGGAAATTAAAAACATAAGTTAAGGGACAACAGTTACCTCTGGGGAGGGCTTGGAGGGCTCGGAGGGCCTTGTCTACACCATGCTAGAAGTGAGATGGGTGAAGGCCACATAGATAGATAAAAATTATGACTCTTTGATTCAGTGATGGGCTCATAGATGCTCATCATGTTATGAAAAATGAATTAACTAAACAACTAAGTGACCAGCTAAACAAAATGCATTTCCCAATGAGGATGGTATGCACTGAGCCAAATGTTATAACTAATCCAGTTCAGTACACCCAAGGTCCAGGTTAAAACACAGCATCAGACCACCACTTTTTTTTTCTTTTGAAAATAGTTTTTTTGTGTTTTTTTTTTTTGGTAAAGTAAGTCCTTGAGTTAAGAAAGTCTGGCTTATGGATAACTCCTACTCTCCCTTTAATGATATGTCAATTTGCCCTCACTTTGAAATGATAGAACCAACCTTGACTTACAAGTTCATAATACATGCACCTTCAGTTGCTGCTTTAAATAATGGAAAAGGCTTCAAGCTTTTTCTTATACTAAATCAAACTGAACCCACTGCCATAGAGTCAATTCTGACTCATAGTGACCCCCATTGGGTTTCCAAGGCTGAAAATCTTTACGGAGGTAGATTGCCTCATCTGCCTCCCAGTGGAGCAGCTGATGGGTTTGAACCACCTACTTTTTGGTTAGCACCCAACGCCTTAACTACAGTGCCACCGAACTCCTTTTGCTTGCACTAACCAAAACCAAACTCAGTGCTGTCGAGTCGGCCCTGACTCATAGCGACCCCTCCTTGAGTTTCCGAGGTGGTATATCTATGCAACTAGATTGCCCAATCTTCCTTCCAATTCTTGCACTAAAGCAAGGTTAAATAAGAGCTAAGGTAAGAGCTAAATTAATGCTAGAATTCATGTAGTTCAATTCCGTATTTTATATATAGAGAGAGATGCACAGAGAAGTGATCTCCTGATATCAATGCATGACTTGAAATAGCTTTTCCCACAGTGTGGTGTATGACAGCCCTTTTCATTTTCAATAATGACTTAATTTCTGTTAGAAAAACTACATTTCAATACTATGGTTATCACTCGTTGCTGTTGTGTTGTTAGGTGCCGTTGAGTCTGCTACGGCCCATAGTGACCCTACATGCAACAGAAGGAAACACTGTTTGGTCCTGTGCCAGCCTCACAATCCTTGCTATGCTTGAGTCCATTGTTGCAGCCACTGTGTCAATTCATTTTGTTGAGGGTCTTCCCCTTTTTCACTACCCCTCTACCAAGCATGATCTCCTTCTCCAAGGACTAGTCCCTTCTGACAACATGACCAAAGTAGGTGACAGGAAGTCTGGCCATTCTCACTTCTAAGGAGTATTCCAGCTGTACTTCTTCCACAAAAGATTTGCTCACTCTTCTAGCAGTCCATGGTATTTTTAGAATTCTTTGCAAGCACTGCAATTCAAAAGCATCCACTCTTCTTTTGTCTTCCTTATTCATTGCCCAGCTTTCACAAGAATATGAAGTGATTGAAAATACCATGGCTTGGATTAGTCCCACCTTAGTCTTCAAAGTGATGTCTTTGCTTCTTAGTATTTTAAAGAAGTTTTTTTTTTTTTCCTGCAGATTTGCCCGGTTCCGTGTGTGTGTGTTATGTGCCATGAAGTTGGCCCTGACTCATAGTGACCCCTCCTTGGGTTTCCGGGGTGGTATCACTACAGAAGCAGATTGCCCAACCTTCCTTCTGAGGAGTGGCTGGTGGTCTTGAACCATCAGCCTTCTGGTTAGCAGTCAAGTGCCTTAGGTACTGCACTCCTTGACCGCTAATGGGTGTTGATTGTGGATCCAAGTAAAATGAAATTTCGACTTCAACTTTTTCTCCATTTACTGTGATGTTGCTTATTGGTCTAATTGTGAGGATTTTTGTTTTATGTTGTTGTTGTTAGGTGCTTTTGAGTCGGCTCCAGTCTCATAGCGACCCCATGTGCAACAGAACCAAACACTGCCCGGTCCTGTGCCAGCCTCACAATCCTTGCTATACCTGAGCCCATCATTGCAGCCATGGTATCAATCCATCTCATTGAAGTTCTTCCCCTTTTTGGCTGACCTTCCACTTTACCAAGCATCATATCCTTCTCCAGGGAATTGTCCCTTCTGACCAGATGATCAAAGTAGGTGAGACGAAGTCTGGCCATTCTTGCTTGCAAGGAGCATTCTGGCTGCACTTCTTCTGGGACAGATTTGTTAGTTCCTCTAGCAGTCTGTGGTACTTTCAGTATTCTTCACCAACACCACAACTCAAAATCATCAACAAAGAGATGCTGTGCTGGAGGCACTCATGCTATGCCAAGAGATTTTCAAGACAGCTACCTGGCCAACTGACTGGAAGAGATCCATATTTGTACCCATTCCAAAGAATGGTGATCCCACAGAGTGTCTTCCTTATTCATTGTCCACCTTTCAAATGCATATGAGGCTATTGAAAACATGATGGCTTGGGTTAGGCACACCTTAGTCTTCAAAGAAACATCTTTGCTCTTCAGCACTTTAAAGAGGTCTTTTGCAGCAGATTTGCCCAGTGTGATATCACATCTGATTTCATGACTGCTGCTTCCATTGGTGTTAATTGTGGAACTAAGTAATACAAAATCTTTGACAACTTCAATCTCCTCTCCATTTATTGGTCTAGTTGTGGGGATTTTTGTTTTCTTTATATTAAGGTGTAATCCATACTGCAGACTAGTCTTTAATCTTCATTAGTAAGTGCTTAAAGTCATCTTCACTTTCAGCAAGCAAGATTATGTCATCTGTATATCACAGGTTGTTGATGACTATACCTCTAATTCTGATGCCGTGTTCTTCATATAGTCCAGCTTCTTGGA